TGGAAGGGTTTTCCAGAAACCTTGCGAAGTACAGCAATATTTTTTTCTATTCTCAAGTAAAAAAAAACATATAGAGCAGCTAAAATAGAGTACATCTTGATATTCTGGCGTAATTTGGATGGACCTTGGCTGGGTTATGAATTTTTTAACTTTACTCAAAAATAGGCAAAAATGGGTTATTTCATCTAATATGGGTTTTACTAGGGTTTTGCGAGTGTTTTAGTAAACAAATATTGTCACGAAATTCAGCGTCGTCGATTACCTATGTTTCCATTTCTTTTCGGAATTGCCACACCTAAAGAAATATTGATTCTGGGACTCTCAGGAAATCCGATGCCACACCTGAACTGTAAAAATTAAGGGTTTACTTAGTTCCCATTTTGCAGAGGATATTTTGGACTATCTATTTAGGAGAAAAGATCGACCTATTTCTATGTCATTTCTTAGAGATCCAAACTGGTTTTCTAAAGATCTACTCAGAATCCGGTCTTCGAAGCATTTTCAAAAATCATTTTTGCTTTTGGAAAGATGCGTACAGATCTTGGCTATCGGATAATGAAAACCGCAGGTCTTTATCTATCTTCTATCAAAATTTACTCAAAAAAGAACCGCGGCCATTATTTTCGGAAATAGACAGTAGTTGTGAAACCTCTATTTCGAAAACTAAAAAAGAACATAGAAGCAGTTTGTGGCAGAAAACATCTGGCAATAATTAATGGAGAGTTAGTTATATACACTACATGCAAAGAACTACCACATAATTATCGTTACTTATTCGTTTAGGTATGCAAAATCTATTATATTCAGTTAACATGTTTGCCATTCAGGCGTTATATGTGCGTGATATTCTACTTAATCGTTTAAAATTACCCTCAACTCATGATGAAATGAACCAGGACGTTAACAAATGGTTAGAAAAAGAAGCGTTAATTGACACAGTTGATGCAGCTATTCGTTTCCAAACAGATTACATTAAAGATCTTCTGCAATTTATCGATGATTATCCAGAATATAATACTGAACATATTGCAGGTGTATTGCAACAATTCGTGAATGATAAACAAGATAATATATTAACATACCGTGATAAAACACATGTTTCAGCTATAACTACTAATGCATCAATAAAACATCATACGGAATGGATCAATGAAAAAGATGATACATTCAAGACCTATTTTGAATAAATACTGAATGTTTTTTCATTTTTGTTTTTAAACTGTTCCAGACTAATTATTAATAAAAAAAGTACGATAACAGCATCTTTTTTAACTTCATTAACGCTGCTGTTATCGTGTTTTTTATTTTGAAACTATTGCCCATTGCGATTCTATATAGTATGTAGTACACACAATATATAACTATTAACACTTTTTATTTTCATGTTTAAGGTTTCGAACCGTCTAGGTTCATCATCAGAAAACGCACAACAAGCTTTAAAGAGCGATGTTATTCATACACGAAATTTGTACATAGAAACGAACATATGGAATAGGCGGTCGGATGGTAGTGAAAATAAAAGGAACACACGATGATACTAACAGAGAAGGAAAAGAAATAACAGCCCTAGTGGTATTCCCGTTCCATTCTTGCTGAGATCTGACCACGAACGCGGTCTTTTCCCGTGTAACAAAAAAATGCTGATCTTGGAAAAATAAAATCGCGATCTTATAATTGTAATCGTGTTCCTGATCAAGTTCGATATGCGATCCCATTCGTTTTGTATTTCAAGAGTGTGACGGGATCGCGGCAGGATTCTGACAAGTTCTTACGTAATTCGAGACCAGAGCTTGAGAAGATTTTTCCTTTGCCCGATCTTGTTCGGATCCCGTTTCAATCTTGCCGCGATCTTAGCAAGATTTCAGCGCGATCCCGTCAAAAACATTTTCCCATCAAGATTGTGAAATTTTCGTTATACGGGAAAAATAGCAAGATTAGGTGCGATCGCGGTAGCGATCTCGCGTTAAATTTCAAATTTCTTTTCAAAATCGCGGCAAGATGAGGCTGTATTCTTACCACGAAATGAAGCGGGAATGCTACTAGGGAACATAAAAGTAAATTCTAAAAAAGACTCGATAAGAGTAAGAGATATACCCAGAAGAATTTGTCGGTCAAAGAATTAAAATAAAAAGGAAATAACCATATCTCTCATTCTCTAGTCCTTTTTACAATTTACTTTTATTCTGTTATTTCTCTTCTTTCGCTTGAGTATCATCATGTGTTCCTTTTATTTTAACTACCGTCAGACGGACTATTCCATATGTTCGTTCATATGTACGAATTTCATGTATAAATAAAATCTCTCTTTATACATTGAGATGTGTCTGTAAAGTCACATATTGTTGTTGATGAATTCATAAAGGATTTCCGATACTGATTACTGCGATCAAATATACTCCGCTCATCGTCGGTAAAAAACAGTCTATAATTTGTTTGTACATCAGACAGCAGTGCATTATCTTGTATTGTATCCCCCATAATAGCTAACATACGCCATTAGAATCGCCTTGATTCATACAACAAAAGTATAACTCCCGATTTTTGAAATTCCTCCCCATTGCTGAGAAATTTCACTTTTTCTAAATAAAGAGAATTTAAAATTAAAATCGGAATTGTGCCCGTAATTCTCAATTTTCTCCATTAGAACTCCCCTTTTACGCCATAAAGGTAACATACTCAGAGTCAGGGTGGAGAACCGAGTGGAATGATTATGTTCTGAAGGCTTTTGCTGATTTTCATTTTTGGTGAAATCTCGGTAATTTTTCGACACGAAAATTTCAGAGAAAACAAAGATGGTCAGGTAGGATAAAAAAGGTAGCTTGGAGTCCTCTTTCGAAAGGTGTATAACACGTTGAAATAAATTTCACTTGATTTTTGAATCAGCCTTACCTCTCACTTATTCAAGAGATCATATTTTCGTTTTCACAGTCTACGTACGCTAGTATACTTATATATTTTTATGTTTACTTTTGAAACTGAACTTTGTGCTGTTCGAAACGTTGAATATTAATAAGGTTGCGGTGTTAGTATATTTTACTAAATCAGGAAAAACGCTGCATCAGTATTGAAGATATGAACTTTGTGATCATTATACGATGCAGGACAAACATAATACCCTCATTTAGAATGGAAAACACAGTTGCCCTTCGTCCATCATGTGATCTTCGATGTCCTGTTAGCAGAGCTTCTACTGACATATAGAGACTTTGAAGCACTGACGACCTCGCACTAGCAAAATCCAGTGAACAGTTTTACTTGAACTGAATTTGCTTATTAATATAACAGTATTCTGGCACAGAATGCGATCCATGTCGTTGAGAACAAATTGAGAATCTAGTCAGTGAATACAGTCATAATCTGAGATCTAGAAAAAGGTAGAACTATCTCGATGAAGGTATATTTCGTTGGTATATGTTGCATTCAGTTGCTCTCTCTTTTTTTCCAATCATTTTTCGATAGTTTGTCGTTGCCCTAATTGGCGTGTTACATCAGAATCCTGTCACGGCAACCACCACACAAAATCGAATCCAGCTCAGGTCTTAACGGTTTCTCAAGGTCTTCTTTCTTTTACTCTCTCAAAGTTTTCTCCAAAATCCTTAGGGTAGGGGTTTCCAGAAAACCTAGGTTTTTGACCTATCAGAACTGATTAAAATGAGCTTTGAGAAAATCGATGCGACTCAAAATGTGCTCAAATGTGCTTTTGAAGCACATATTAGGATTCAGCATCGAATTTCGAACATTTTGAAAAAAAATCGGGTCCCTTACTCAAAATTAAACTTTTTAATTCAATTTTTAACATTTCAGAATTTAGCTTTTTTTACATTTGATACAACTCGGCAAGGATAAGTGATAGAGACTTGATTCAAACGTGGTTAAATAAAGAATTAAAAATACGATAAAACTGGATAGTTGGTGATGTTCATGCATCACGTAATCAGCGTTTTCTAAGAGATCTTCAGAGAACCTTTTTTAACTTTTGCTTTAATTTCATGTTTTTTTACTTTCGTATTTGCTTTTTAAACTTTCTACAACCAACGAAGGTCAAAAATATTTCGTACATGATCTCTCGATAGTAGCGACACCATCGGGTGCTCTATAAACAAGAGTCTCGGTCTTATACTTCACTGCTATAGCTTATGATGCCCTTTTCGCTCATTGATGATCGGTTGATAACATATGTCGGTTACATCACCATATTTCAATTGCGTTTTACTAAATTTCATTGCAGATCGTATAAACGTAGGTCTGACTTGTGCTGTACTACTATGTACTTATTATTCGTGGCTAGCGACATATACCAAGTTAGTTTATTGTTTTCATCGATGTTCCTAGTTTTGTGATATCAAACGATATACCAGAAACCACATTTGATAATATTCGGACTGAATCTTTGCTAATATTCAGGGGTTGTGTTTGAATGCTCATGAATTTTGACTGGATTGCTTAGGTACTTAGAGCAGTCATGTTATAACGGAATTTAATTTGTAGCAGATGGTTCAAATTCCAAAAGTGAACAGTACACACTTTTTTTAATAATTATCTTAGCATCATATTCTGTGATATTCGTAATCAGCGTCGTCTGTGGATTCAGAATATGTATAATATATCCAAAAATAAATTCCACTTTAAGTTTGCATTACGTGCATCTTACAGAAAAATGAGAATAAATGGTTACGTTTTCATTTTTTGCTTTGGTAGATCGCACACATATTCACAGTCCGTTTGTTGTTACTCCCAAATCATTTGTATATCGAAAAGACAGCAGTGGTTGTAACTTACAGTGGTTTAAAAACTTCTAGCTGTTTCTTTTTTCTCAATTTTTTCAAAAATCAGCGTGCTAAAGCCATTGTAGATTCTCGTATCTGCTAGAGACGTTTTACCAAAACGCAGCAATAAAATATCTGTTTTTGAATTTTCTATGTGTAGCGCAACTAAACCATTTAGTAACATCTCTTCTTGCAAATCTTATAAAAAAATGAAAATTTTTTTCTGTCTCCGGGCACGCTAATAATATAATATGAGTATTTGGTCAGACTCTTATATTAATCTTAACTAGTAGATGCTTCTATAAAAACCTGAACAAAAGCCATTGTCTCGAGCATTTCCATCGTCTTATCCGGTAAGACGATGGAAATAAGGCAATTTCTTTTATTCTGAGAATTAGAGATGTGCACGGGTACCATTTTCGTACCCGTACCCGACCCGAAAATTTTTTTTCCACCCGTACCCGACCCGACCCGAGAACTGTGTACCCGTACCCGACCCGTACCCGACCCGTAATCGACTT